AATGTAATTTAATATTTAATGTAGATGAGTTAATCTTAAATATAAAAATTTCCAACTTTTTTATTACATTAAAAAAGATTAAAATATCAATTGAAACTCATTGTTGAAGAAAAATTATTTTTTTAAGCCCAATGAATTGATAATTTTATAATTTTGATCCATTTAAGTTATTAAATTAATAAAAGAAATATAGACTGTCAATGTATAATCTGTAAGTGGCTCAACGTAAATTCCCATAGTATACACATCACATGTGAATACCTATATAACAAATCGTACACGCAACAGCAACAATTATTTGGCGTCAATTTTTTTAAGTTATTTATTTGGTATACAACTAAACATTTTTAAAATGTCATTAGAATTTAATAAATCAAAAAACATATTACATTGTATTCATTATTAAGATTTTAAACAGTTCAATAGTTATATTAAATATTGATCAAAATCTATGTAGCTACAACATTTAAATTTAAAAACAAAAATTAAAACATATAATTCCTAAAGAATAAATTTTAGCTACTCATGCTTTTCAATACTAGTATGACTTGTATTTTACCAGACTAATTTGATGGTCGGTGAGTTGGTACATTAATTTTGTAAAAGCAAAAATGTTTTATTAGTCAATGCTGAAAATGTATATAGTTTTTGGTGTAAAAAATACTAATAATACTACAAAACTATCATTAAAAATATTACCGTTTTATTTTTTCAATGTATTAAATATATTTAGTATTTATTAGAAAATCATCTATATGCATAAAATAATATAAATTAGGTGCCTTGTAATAAATTGTTCATGTGTTTTTATTTAGATACATTCCAAATAATATATTGTGCAATGTATTATTTACTAATTGAGCAGGTGTATTATAACTTTGTGAAGTATCTACTGTTAAGTACGGTCGAGAAAAATAAAACGATTCCCTATAAGTTTATTATATTCATGTAAAAAAGTTTTATCTGAAATTTAGTGAAGACACCGAGTAGTTGTAAAAGTGTCAACAAAAATTTAATTTCTTGTTTCCTTTTAAACTAATTCGATTTGACATAATTAAGGCTCTCAACATAAGGCGACGTTGCCGTGGATTCAGACAGTTTATAATCGTATTATTTCTGACAATTGAATCTCGGATTTCTTAGTAAACTGTATAATACAAGAACATGAGAAGTTTTTAGTTCTTTGTTACAGTTAAAAAAAAATTTTTTATATGATTTACAGTATATTATCAAATCTTTGATATTAATGTTCAAAAGTCGAGCTCTAATGTATTCGCACGTTTATTTATTAAAATATGCACTTTATACTATCTATGTTAATAATGTATCCAGCATAATATATATGTTACTAAATACTATTTTTTAAGTGTTATTGCTATAAACAAAGACATTTGTTTGTTTTTTTTTTTAAATATACGGCCAAGATCAGTTTTTATTATTCATAGTCGTTCCAAATGGAAAATTCAATTGTGGATTCTCAGTTGTAATTTAACGTTCAACCACACTTTAACGATTTAAAATATTTTTTAGAAAATTCGTTCGAGCCGTTTTCCAAGAATAACTGCGTCACCAGAATCGATGTTGTCTAGCACGTCGATCGCTGTTGTTTTTTTTTTGTCTTTTTTAATATCGACGATACGAATAATTCATTGGACCCCTCAAATGTAAACATAGGCGGGCGAATAGTTTTCACGAAAACTGAGTCATAAAACGTCCCAGCAGATTGTACTGCAGTAGTGCGTACCCGATCCATTCAACATTTTTGGGAAGTCATAAATTCTGGGAAAGGCAAAGGCAAAGGAAAAAAACTATATAGTATGTGTGGGTGACTTTTGCCAGCAATTATCGTATGCCAATGAGATTTACGGCACGACGTGTCCGATTCGGGATTCTATATTTTGACGACGGTAATCATGTCGAAAATCTGAAGGATGTGTAATATTAATAAAATACTCGAGGCGGAAAATTTCTAGTTAAAACGCTATGTTTTTAAATCGATATTCAAGGAAAATCTATTAGTTAGATGATGTGAATCATTGTTTTGGATGGATTATTTTTATAGTGAATTTATTGCATTAATAAATTATTATAAATCAAAGGTACTTTAACAGGTTGTCTCAAAATATACAAAAACACAAGACAAGAAAATAATTTACTAAAATACCTTTTCCAAATACCAATTATAATTTAAATTAAGAATATAATATTAACATATATTTATATTTATATTTATATCATATCATAATATAACCTAATAATATACGTAGTCGTGATATTATAAATTAATTATGTAGAATGGGTATTAGTACTGAATTACTTATTTACGTGTACCTATGGGCTATGATAATAGTAAAATTGTGTTTCATTCTTTGCGCGTTATTGAGAACTTATGCAATGCAATAAGAACTTAACAATGATCTTTTCTAGTAATTTGTAGTTGAACTTTTTGAATTGTAGGTGAGTATAATTGAAATTTAAAACGATTAAAGCAATCTTTGTGTGTTTGTCTAATGCTTATACTCTAATGCATTTGCCACATAGGCAGATGCATTCCACTTTATCAAGTAGGTAGCGACATATTTTATGTTAATTGATTGGAGAGTCAGAAGCTCTATTTCAAATAATTGTAATGCAAGCATGCAGTTTTTTCATGTAATATATATGTCTAATGGCCACCCTTTTACCAAAATTGTACATCAACAGATTGTAAAAAAAAAAACGCTAAATTTTGTTTTTTTATTTAAATTATTTTTAATTTGAAAGTAGGAATTGTATATTGATACTTATCTGTTATCTAGTAATATCTATTATCTTCTTTATAATATGTATTAATAAAATACTATTTCAAATTTGGTTGAGTTTTGAATGAATGAGAATTATTCATAGGTTAAAAAAATACAACAAATTATAGTATAAAATGTTCCGGGTTGTTCACTTTTAGACTGTATAGGTTGGTAAATGGTAATATACAAATTCAATAACGAACACGCTCTGTTTATTAATAATTTTTGTAATATTATTTCACAATATTTTGTACAATTTCTATGTAGGTACTCCGAAATAGTTCATGTTATAATGAATTGAATTAATGAAATGAAACCAAACCAAAACTAATATCAAATTGAATTATTCAAACCAGTGGTGGCCTGTCCAGGTCGGCGAGACGGCGATCGCCGACTGGGTCCCTTTCTAATAAGGCCATTTGAACAGAGCCGGACTATTCGGATTTGGGATTAAAAAAACTATTTTTATAAAACATAAGGGTCTGTTCCATGTACAACACTACAATTATCACCTATTTTCAGCAATCTAAGATTCTTAATAATAAGATTAATAATCTTATGATTAAATTGAATCGAGTAATGCACTATAATAACTTAATGTACTTATTTGTACAGGCAGTGAACGTACTAAAGTAGTTCCTTGATTTAAAATTTATGTCGATTATGGGTTGATAAATATGGTATTTCTCAGTAAAATTGCTCGGGACGATCACACGACCACATTAATATATTATTAGACATTAAAGTAGTTATTACTAATTATTTATAACCCTTGGCTCGAGCGATTTATATCTTAATAATTACTACTAGATAGTGTGATAAACGTGTTAAAAAGTGACAAATTGAACTAAAAAATGCAGGGAGTAATCCAAAACAGACCAAATAATCATTTTCATGTGTCCCAAATCAAAACAATCCGAGTAGTATTCAACCGAATAACATAGAAATACCTCATTGTTGTGTGTTTTAACTTTTAATTCCATTAATGTATTTTAATTATTACCTCGTGACTATCCAAGTAGCCAATCTTTATAATAAATTGATTGAAAAAATATGTTCAAGGTCCCATGTCTTTTTAATAGTACTTAAATGAAGGGGCCCTTTTTTATTTAGCCGATCAAGTAATGTGTGCCCAGGCCGCCACTGATTCAAACACATTTATTGCGCCATTAAGAATTATGCCAGATATAATTTTAAAATTATGATAAATTATTTACAGTATTGACACATCAATAACCTAATCTCACTAGAGTATACTAAGTATTTTATTCGTACACTTAATTAATATCCTTAGGTTATTTGTGGTTTAAATATGACAACACTAATATTTTCTTAGTTAAGACTCGTGGTGTGATTAAGTCTGATATGATGTCTGCACATTCACATTATATTTCGAATTAGGGCTACTAACTTCCAAATTAACTTAACACACTGTGATTACCCGTGCCCGTGACGCGTGGCACATGTTCAATGTGTATAATATAATAACGACAATCGTCGTACTCATATTTCAGATAGGTACCGCAAACAAGAACCGTAAGACATTAAAAATAGTTATTTAGTAAATATATTATTTTCTAACTACATAAGTAATTGTATCAACCGCGTGAACTCAAAAACATTATTCTCCTCATCGGTATTATATTACGCAGAGTGTCTCACTAGGATTTATGTCTTAAAGCAATGGGGTAGCAGATCGGATTACACAACTCCGCCATTTTAAATTAGTGAATGTTAGTGGGATACCACGACTAGAAGTGTACATAATGTATGAATCGCTCTACAGGGTGGAATTTTTATATTATCGCCTGATAATATAAAACGGCAATGACGTGTATGGAAAAATTAAATCATTTAAAGTAGGTTAAAAAAATATATTCTACGCGTTTTGAAGATGATATTGGCATTGGAATCTCAGCAATGTCGTGTCCACATTCGCAACTTTTATTACCTAATACTCCAACTTTTCGTAGTCAAATAATTTAACTTAAACGTGTATCGCATGATAATAATATGTGTGTAGTATTGCCACTGAACATATCAGATATGCGTACCAAACCAAACAAATGTCTGGACTAAAAATAGGTGCTTATGACACCAAAATTAAGTTTAATATAAAACGTATACTATAAAATAATGTTATTATAACTTATAAGCGTCAATTTTTCTGTCACTAAACACTATCGTATTCGGTTTAATTCTAAAAGATATTCTTACCATTTAGTTTTTTCTTTCTCGAATTAAATAGTGACGAACATTTATTCGTGATGTTTGAAGTTTCCGTATACGGTTCTCATACCTGTAAATAAATAAAACAAATTAATAAAAAATATAGTAATAATTATTAGTTTTATTGGCAAGTATACTTTGAATCGGTCATATATCTTGGTTAAAATTAGCTAAAAACACTGTAGGTACACGGTGACAAGCAAATTAACAAGATAAATTCGAATAATTTAGGAGAATATTCACTAAGCCGTTCAGCATCCGAAAGTTTTAAAATTACCATATACGCATCGTATACGACCACTGCAAAATATATGGGTAGGTACCCCGGATTTACAGTTTTGTCTAAAATCGTAAACGCGATACTTTATTATGGAGATCACAGGACACAGACACGATATATTTAGTATTTACATATTGTGTTTCATTAATAACACATGATATATTAAGTTATTATTCGTATTTGTTACGTCATAATACAGTAATACACAACACTCGCGTTAAATAAGTAAAAGTTTAACAAAACTAATGGACACCGATGAGTTATAATCATAGACAAGAACTACTGTGTCTGTGTATAACAATTAACAAGTAAAAACAACATTAAGATATTCAGTAAAACATTTCACAGTGATGTAAGCCGTTTTAGACGACAGGCGTGCAAATTTACAATAATTATTATGGAATTTACCTTTAGACCGAACACACAGCGTACGCGTACACAACGTCCTGTCAATTTGGTATGGACCACGGCCTTAGAAGATAAGGTCGTGACACTTCCCTATTAATTAGGGAAAAGTACCCCCATCCCGGATGGGGGTACTTTTCCCGAAATTTCATGGAGAAGAAAAAAAAAATAATGAAAAAAGAATGATAACCCAACCTAGCCAATATCAAAATTTATACCACAACTCGTTCCAGAATATACCAGAGATCCAGTAGTGACACCACCAATAAGAAATAATTTACAGTGATGCCTTGTTAGAGGCACTCGTCGCTACGCTCCTCGGCGCCGTCGCTCCGCTCCGCAAATCGAAAATATCCCTCGACTTGTTATGCAACACCACCTCAAGTTGGTCACTGTGTAACCGCTGTCATACCATAGACAACCACGCTTATCATTTTCGGCCACAGATATATAGAATAAAGTTAAAATAGTTAAAATAAGTTTATTCTATATATCTGTGTTTTCGGCCAAAAGCTTATCACTACCGCTATCAAAATCGGGAAATCTTTTTTTTCTCCATGAAATTTTGGGAAAAGTGCCTGAAGCCCCAAAAAGCGCCCTCTATATTTTGCCGATTTCCATACACTCAAGTGGACGCAAGTGACGCAAGCAAATGGAAGAGATACATATAATAGTGACCAAATGCTGAAAACAAATTTTCTGTATAATTACTAAAGTATTATTAAGTTTGTATGACTATGCAATCAGAAGAATGGAATGGAATCAATTGCGGGAAACAGGACGTGCCTTAGTGTGCGTTAGAAAAACCATTTATAGACGTAAATATTATAATAACTACAAACGGTACAATCTAAGCTATTAATTCAACACTTTTTATAATATTAAACACATATTACCCACTTTATAATAAGAACATGTACAAGTACCAACTAAATACACTATAGAAGCTATGATCTATATGTGGAACTTAAGCATTTCTGGTGAGTATTATCCATAAAACTGCAGAGGCCAGATGGCTAAAAAACACGGAAGGTATCTGTTCAAATCAAGCGTATCACATTTTTTGTGTGTCCAGTTAAATGAATAAAACATGTAGAACTTTCTTTATATTTTTGTTGAAATACTTCAACTGATTGTCAACCTTTTATGTTAAATGGAATGTTGTTTGTTTTTAAAATACTAAGAGAATATGAATATCGGTATTAACTATTTAGGCCGATTTAAAAAAACTTATAATATGTATATGTAGGTATTGTATAAATATTACACAATTGTTATTTTTGCACCATAAAAAAAGAAGAAGGTACGATTTTGTTTCATACTGCAGTTTTTTTCGATTAAATTATTAAAAATATTAAGTACTTTCTTTGTAGTTAATTTACTTTTAGAAAACTTATTTTATATTTAATCGCTCAATAGAATATTATTGTGTGCAATATTTTTGATTAATAAATCCGTTAATGTAGGTAACAAGATTTCTGGATGGCAAGTGGCAACAATATATTTTTGATTTGCTAATGTTAAAATAACAATCGAAATTAAACGTTTTAATATTTTTTAGAAATGTAATGATTCATTTATACTTTATTAAAGTTCCATTTACATAATAAATTTAAAATAATAACAATCATTTTATATTATACAAAGGTTTTAAACAGATATCTACTATTTTATTTAAAGGTTTTATTTTAATACCTTTACATTACATTTTCTCTTCAATAATACAAACAATTTATGATATAAATATTATGATCGTATAAAGCGCTATTGTTACAACATCATGAGATAATATTTTAATACATTACACACCATGATCCTACTTCCATCAGCTTACTATTAAATAAATAAAAAACATAAATAAATATATATATATATATATATATTAAAATGTTCATTTTCTGCACTGTTCGATGTTTAATTTTTTAAATAAATGATTAATGAAAACGGTTAAAATGATTACAATGTATTGTACTCAATGATTATAATCAATGATGATTTATTCGAAGCCGATTAAAATTTAACAATGACTTAATCATTTTCAAGAAACTGACAATCGAAAAAAAAAACTGTAAAATTAATTTATAACTGTCTGATTCATAATATTTTGTTTTTACATGTTAAAAGTGTATACCCAAAAAATTTGGTGCACAACAATAACGGTTAGTAAACTGTAAACCCATGTTTCTCTATTGCCGTTTCAGCTGATAAGCTCGATTCGAAAATATTAAAATAACAGACATTGCCGGATTATGCTAAAGACGCTCGTGGGACATTCGACCAGACGGGAGAGAAAGTCGAAGCTATAAAAACTTATTATAATATTCGTGGTCGAAGCAGGGATATAACGAAACAAAACGTTCAACGATATCGAACGATACGTGCATCGCTAAACATGTTTCCCTGTGTACATAATATATATGCCAACCTATTGCCGGTTTCTATTCTTCGAATATTTTATTTCCGGCGAGAATAAAATAAAATTACTATGGATCCTGCTGCAGTTTACCAACACGGTTCTGCAGTACCTACCCAGGTATATGATTCCGTTCAGTTAAGTGATTCAAACGTTTCTTCCAAAATATCCTCGTAGGATAAACTATATATATTAACGTGAGGTGTACGACGGTGTATAGGAGCACACAATTCGCGATGGTGTAAGTAAAATAAATACAGCACATGCGCGATATACTTTCAACAAAATTAGTTTTGAAAATATCCCAATAGGCGTCGCCAGGTGTGAAATAATGACTGCAAAAACAGTGTAGGTAAATATAATATTAGTAGGTATACCTACGTGTAAGTCATAATATGCAAGTATAAAAAAAAACACGTTTCTCGACGAAAGTGTTTATATTGTTTCAGAAAACCGTGTATCCCTGCATACGAGGATTTTGTCGGAAATATTAAGTGCTTCTCATATATGGCTTATCAATGATATTGGAAAATTGTCGTTTCTTAATTTAATTTTAGTTCAGAAAAAAAATCATCAAGATCATTATTGTTTACACGTTTATACTTGTTTTAATGTAAATTTTAAGTGAAAAACTTTAAAAGGCAGTTCTCTGTTTAAATTCAATATGTATTTAATAATAATGTATTTTTTAATTTCTGTCACGACATTGATTTTTAATTTACCAATATACATTAATATAATATGACATTATTTATGTTTAAAATATAAATATAAATGATATTAATAATAGGTAATATACACATTTTTACTCGTAAAGATTTAATGAAGTAATTAATTGATATCAATACAAATATTTCGTCCATAGAGTATTTATTAAAAACAATTTTTTTATTTTTATTATATGGCACCGACTGCATGGTTATTAGCCGGTTTTTTACTGAGTAGGATGGTATGGTTGAGTTGGAACACGTTACGTGTGGCAAGGATTTGTTCCTAAAAATTCCGGTTGGGTGACCATCCTGGAACTAGTAAAATATATACCTATAGCGGCCGGTGCGTACACTCGGAGTGCGTACTCAATTGGATGGAGATGCACCACACCACACGAAGCCACTAAATTAACATTATCCGTATTTATAATGTGTTTAATTTAATTTTTTTAGTATATATTTTAATGACTTAATTACTTAAAACTAGCTATAAAATTACTGAAACGTGGAATTATATCTTTTATTTTGTATGGTACTTATAACATCAAGTGGTTATAAAAAATTCTTTGGACTTTACTAGTCCTACCGGAAGTTTCTTGACTTCTATTGTGGTTAACAAAACTTAAATATGCTAATAAGCACTATAGATTTGTTGAACTGTATTATGATGTCAACAAAGTAAATTTGAGTACCTAGATACGTATGTTTGAATAAATTACTACATTTAAAATGATAAATTAAGCTAATTGTAATTTAAATAAAATGAACGAGTTTTCCAAGCAACATTTTAAATCCCTGAGTATAGTTGAGATTATGTTATACAATTTTGAAGAGTAAGACATAATAATGTGCAATGTGTATAAACTCTATTTGTTTTTAGTTTATGTTCAGAAAGTCTTTCTATGTTTTTCTAACATATTGTAGGTAATAGGTACACAGTTGTTTGTTTTAAATTCCAACTGTTGGTTCTTAAATGTATAATAATCCAGACTCATAAATCCAATTGTAAATTATTAAAATGCAATACTAATGAGAGTGCTAAATATTTCAAACTAAATCAAAAATATACATCAAAATAACGAGGTTACTACTAAATTGCAACATCAATATTACTTTGCATAGTAAAAAAAAAATTAATGTTCACTTATATTATAATCTTATAATTTTTAAAATAGGATTTACCAAAGAAAATAATAAATAATACTATTTGGGTAGTTCTAATGGTTTATATTATTAATACTCTTGAATCTCAATGTAAAAAG